CCACACCCCCTGACGAGACCGTAACTGGTTCCTCCGAATCTAAACACCTTTTCTTGTGAGAAATTGATGGTCTAAAGAAGCAAGATAATTAAAAACCTTTTGGAAATCCCCCAGTTGTAATAATATTTTGGGGAGCAACCAGACATCTCCTCATCCACACGCGTGCGCAGATACGTAAATTGGGGCCGTGCCGCCGGACTTGTCCCTGCTCGTAAAGGGTGTTCGTCCGTATGTCCTGTTGGGCCGTCAGTGTTCCCGGTCGGGAGGAGGTGCGGGCCTTGGGGAGGGGAGTGGTTGGGGTTTCCTCCGTTACAGATGAATAGCCTTACTCCTCGCCCTGCCCTTTGCCCTGTTGCAAGCAGCTCCCGCCTTTTGGGGGGCTCTCGAGATGCTTGCCGAGGGCCCTCCCTGCGTTAATGAGCCCAGTTCATGTGATTGCCCAGCATGAAAAGAAAAGGCACTCTTACTTAAATTTTTGAATTTCCGTCTAAAGTGCATACTCTGGGATCCTTGCGAGATGGTGGTATCGCGACAGACACCTTTCCACACTTTTTATTTCTTTCTCTTTTTTATTCTTTATGTAACAGAGCAAACAGGAAATTCACAGGAGGTCTGCTCGGCTCAGAAACACTAAGTACAAATCTGCTCCAGCCGCTGAAAAGAAAGTTTCCACCAAAGGAAAAGGGAGAAGACATATTTTTAAATTAAAAAATGTAAGATGATTGTGGATAGTGCTTTTTACTGCAGTAGCATTGTGTGTAATGTGTCCCGCCACTGCCTTCATCTCCTACCACTGAGCTTTTAACCCCCCCCTTGGGAGCTCTTTTGTAGTATTCTGGGGAGTGGGCCAGACTTCTAAAGAGGCTTCTTTCAGCTCCGTGGCCAGAGGCTTAACTTTTCGTTTTCCTCTGGGAAATACGCATTAGGAGTCTAGAAGAAACATAAACCTCGGGTGCATTTAATTGGGCTCTTTATGCAAAGGACTATGGTATGACCAAGTACACTAGGAAACTTACTTTCATTCTTTAAAGATATAAGTAAATAAATACTGGAACTCATTTCCATATTTGTTTGTTATTATAGCTCAGAAAATGTATTTTTATGACATATGATCAGTTTGATGAATATGAATTAAAATTTTTTTAAACTTTTATCTCTTCTGCTATAAGAAAACAGATTGTTGAAAGATTTGTGGGGGGGGTAGTTAAAGCACATTTTTAGTGCAGTAAATTCTCATTATCTTTGTAAACACGAGGGGATATATGGTCAAACACAAGGGGCAATGCATTATAGACAATTTTTTTAAATCTCAGATGGTATTCTTTCCTTTTCAGAACAGGAATGGTTGACTTACCGGTAAAGGCATATTCATTCATAAAACACAAAGGGGCCTCCAGTATGTTGTGCAGATTGTGGATTCTTTTCTTATTGAGAGTAGTTGTCCCTAATTTATTTAAAATTTTTATAATTTAGTCTTCTAAAAATGAGGCATTCATTGACTAGACAAAACATGTTAAGTAAATATTCACTTGGTTATAGCTGTATCATTTAAACATGTTTTTCTCTTAAGTATGGTAGAATATGTTCTCTGCAATTATTTCAGTATCATTTTCTCTAGCAGCCTCTTCAAGAATGAGATCAAGACATTTGGGGAGGCCTGCCTTCTCTATTGTGGCATAAAAGTGTGTATTTCAGCCTAAGAACGGATTTCAGTGATGGGCAGGTGGTGGCAGATTACTAAGAACTCCCAAAGAAGTTTCTTTTAGCCATAGTTCAGCCTTGCTAGAAAATGAGTTCTGCTGATATCAAATATCATAGCTGGTTCCATAGGTTGAGATGGAAAATGTCATCAAGGAAACACTTTCACTTAGTGCTCACCTACCCATTTTTTATTCTGTTTCTTTCATGCTCAGGCCATTAGAGGCAGTATGTTTTTATAGCTAAAATATTAATATGTAATAAAGCTCTGAGAGGGCTGTGTTAACCTTCAGCAGCATAATCAGAAGTTTGTCCTCCAGTTCCCAGAAATTTTAAGCTAGTGGTAGCAGAAATAGCAGTGGAAATAATCATAATGCGCTTTGCCACAACATTCAGAAAATCATTTGTCTTTTGGCAGTTTTTGTCACCAAACAACAGATTTAGTGCTTCTCAAATTACAGAACTCTCATATATGGCTGGGAAAATGCCTGTACACACACATACACAGTATGAATGTGCTAATATTTTTACTTTTCCCCCACAGCCCATCAAAGCGCCTGAGTCAGTTTCCACCATAATCACTGCAGAATCAATCTTCTACAAGGTAAACATCTGTAGAGTTACAGAGGAAGATTTGGGCTTACTGGATAATGTGCTATTAAAACGTTGGGTTGGTCTGAAGGTCTGTGATACTCAGTAAAAAGTGTGATTATGTGTTTTTTCTAAGCTATTTCTCCCAGAGGTAGCTATTATGAAATATCTCATCCAGAGCTGGGGTGGGAGGCGAAGTTGCCTATTGAATTATGATGAGGGTCTTAAGAAATTTTTAACGTAGATCATGGGAATTGTTTTTAAAATGCTAGTGTATGGCGTGGAACCGTGAAAGAATGAGCCATCCTAGTCAATGTGATGACATTGAAGGGGGGATTGAGACTAGTATAGGATGTCTAGTGGGTAGAGTTGGCACTGGGATTCTAAAATGCCTTTAAGCAGAAGTGAGAGGATAAGAGCAGTGAGGATTAGCACCTACTGGAAGTCCCTGGTCAGAAAGTCCCAAGATGTTTTGAATAAAAACAGAAGGTTAGGTTTCCTAGGACCAGAGCCCATGGACATTAGACACCTTAGTGACATTTTATTATTTTTGAACCAGAAAACTAGAAATGCAGTTGGAGCATAGAAAAGACCTCTAAGGCCTGGCAGACCTGGCACAGGCAGTAACCATTAGTTACTGTCCCTTAGGGGCAGTGGTGTGAGTTAGTGCTTTGTACCTGACCTAAGTGCACAGAACATTGGGAAACACAAGCAATTATACTCGTTGAATGCACCCCTTTTTGTTAGCCCAGAATCTGTGTAGTCTATATACAAGCAAACATTTCTCCTATATTTCCAGCTCTTCATAGCTAATAATACATAGCTAAAGTTTAGTGTGCTTGCTATTTATCAGGCACTTAGGTGCATGTTTCACATGCTTTATTTCATTCAATCCACTCCATGAAGTGGGTACTATTATCCCCATTTTATGGATGAGGACATGGGTCACAGAGAGGTTAATTATCTTGTCCAAGAGCACATAGCCAACCAGTCATAGAGCGAGGCCACCTGATGATGCCAGAGCCCAAATCCAGAGCTCAGCTCCTGACTCTACTGCTTAGGCAAGTGACTGTGTGATTGGGCTAGGACCAGCCTCTCTGATGTTTCTTCATCTATAAAATAGGGATTGTAAATAGAAGCTACTTCATTGGGTCAAGTGAGATTGTGTATGTTAAGCACCGAACAGAGTAAGCACTCAATGAATAGTAAAAATTATCATCACATTTTCAAATATGTGCATTATTTTCACAGCTGAACAGATTAAGTTTCTAAGCAACTGACTGAGCTAAGAACTTAGTGTACTAATGAGTTTTAGGCATGTTTCAATGGAAAGAACATGAGACCTGCTATTGCAAGTGTCAGTAACTTATTACTGTCTACTTTGTGTCCATGCACCAGCAGGTAGTAGATTGTGGCCCCCATTGACTATACCCATCCATAATGATCCAGATGCAACAGTCACCCTCGGACACATGGAAAAAGTGTTCACAGGAGAAACTCCTGCCCTGTCAGGTGCTCATGTCACAGCTCAGTGACTGGAAATGTTTTCTCAGAGTCATTTTTATGGTTGAGGTGCACACCCAGCAGCTTCACCTGCTGTCAAGGCCCTTCGAGGGAAGGAGCGATGAATCACACCTGCAGACTGGTCCTCGCACCCACCTGAGGCAGTGCTGAGTGTCATAAATATTTGGGTCAGCCATTATGGATGCACAAATGAGAGATTATTTCCAGTTCAGGACCCAGGGAAGAGGTATAAGAGGCCTAAACACAAGACATGCACAGATTAGTTAGTTGGGTGTGAAGCAGAGTATGGATAAGACGAGGCCTTGAATGCCAGAAAACACCAGTAACTGTCTCGTGGGAGGATATCACAGTGAACAGGAAGGGAAAAAACAGGTGCCAGTGAGACTGGGGAGCGGTATGGTAAATTGAGGGTAAACCTACCCTGAAGACTGATTATAATCAAAAGAGTCTATCATTTCTTTTTTTAAATAATTTTTTCACTTTTAAAAAATTTTTATTTTTTAATTGATCTTAGGAAGCAAGAGGGAGAAAGAGAAAAGCATTGAAGTGAGTGAAACATTGCATCGATTGTCTTGTCTTCCACACACACCCAATCAGGATCAAGCACTCAACCTAGGCATGTACCCTGACTGGGGAATTGAACCGGTGACCTTTCCTGCACAGGAAATGCTCAACCAACTGAGCCACACTGGCCAGGAAGTTTCTAACTTTTTTTTTTTTTTTTTTTGGTTTGGATTTATAGTATCTCTTTTCCTTAATTGATGGTTGAGGAGGAAGGTATATAGAGCATATTTTCACCAGATAAGCCCTGATTTTCAAGCCAGTACAGAGATAGACAGCCAAGCTGGTATAGGAGCCTCAGCTGCTGCTCTGCCTTATGTGGCTTTCAGCAAGTCACTTAGCATTTCTATAGGTCAGTGGCTCTAGGCAGAAAAGTAGGGACAGTACTGTTGTGACAGGAAATCAAAGTATTTTTATAAACACGTGTTCTCCAGATGCAAGTTGTGTGTGTGTGAAATTTTTTCATTCAGAAGTGAAACAACTTTAGAATTGGCATCAACCATATAAACATCAGTGCATTAGTCCGTCTCAGAGACCTTTTATTGACGACTTTGAAAACTCTTGCTTTTATATTAAGGAAGTTTCAGTTCATAGCTGTGGTGCTGTTCTATTTATTTTAAATATGGGATTATCTTTTATTTCGCCCAGGGAGTCTATTACCAAATTGGAGATGTTGTTTCTGTGATTGATGAACAAGATGGAAAACCCTACTATGCTCAGATCAGGGGTTTTATCCAGGACCAGTACTGTGAGAAGAGCGCAGCACTGACGTGGCTCATTCCCACTCTTTCTAGCCCCAGAGACCAATTCGATCCTGCTTCCTACATCATAGGTGAGTCTGACAAATGGTGCAGGTTCTTGAACCCAGTTAAGCCTCTATTATTATGTATAAGAATGCATTAGTCTGCTTGAACTGCCATAACAAAATACCACAGACTGAATGACTTAAACAACAGAAATTTATTTTCTCACCATTCTGGAAGCTGGAAGTTCAAGATCAAGGTGCTCTCAGGATTGGTTTCTGGTGGAGCTCTCTTCCGGGCTTGTGGACCACCACCTTCTCAGAGTGCACACTCCTCCTCCAGTCTCATCTTCTTATAAGAATTACAATCCTAGCGGATTAGGGTCCCACCCTTATGACCTCCTTTAACTTTAATTGCCTCCCTAAAGTCCTCGTCACCAAATACCATCACTTGAGGGTTAGGGCTTCAACATATGAATTTGGGAGGGCTATAGTTCAGTCCATAACAAAGAAGCATTAAGTACAATAAAGTAGAGAGCTTTATAGGAAACATGAAAGACATTTTATCCACCTGGGGTTTGAGTGCTGTCAGTTGTTTAGAGTTAGGGCAGCATGCACCTACTAAAAAGTGATATAGATAAGATTTTTTTTAAGTGATCCAGGATTAAACTATTAAAAGAATTTATTGCTCAGGAACTAGGTTATTTAGGTTACTTATAAAAATCTACTCAAAAATAATTTCTGAAGGAACTATCACGGTTATTTTCAGAATCTTACATACTCTCAATATGCATCTTTCTACATGTCACACATCATTCTAGACCTTTTATAATTACCACTGTTGATCATCAGAACAGCAGCACTGTACTCTTACTCATTTCAGTGCTGCCAAAAGAAATGGTACAGTTTTTTATGTAAACTCAAAAGAAGTTACTGATAATTCAATTTTGAAAGTGTTCAGAATTTTTAAACTCAACTTTTTAATCTTTCTGCAATGGCCATGCATTACTTTTGCATTCTGAGGAAAAGCATACAAAATTTTTTCAGTGAGAACTCAGGGACAAATGACATCCCACTGTTACTCTCTCCTGCATGTCAGGTTTCACACATGACCAGTTTTAGTCTTCTGCTTGTGAGTACATGAAACGGTGGACTTTCACGTACCTGATCTATTGGATAGGATTCTCAGCAGAGGCAGTGATGGGACAGAGTCAGCTCTGGTCTCCTCTCCCACCTCCTCCTCCTCCTCAGACCCTGGAGCACAAACTCCAGGGCCAGGCGGTCTGGGTTCATAGCCCATACACTTACTAGCTGTGTGATGTTGGGCAAGTTCCTGAATCTTCCTTGCCTCATTTTCCTCATATGTAAAATGGGAATAATAATAGTGCTCACCACAGAGGGCTTTTGTGAGGATTTAAAGTATTGACATATGTATAGTACTAAGAACAGTGCAGGCATATAATAAACACTATATAAGGCTAAATATTATTTTGATTCCTTTCTATATTGAGTCACTGTTCCTTAAGTGGTTAAAGTAGAAAAAATGAGATGAGTAACCTCAGAGTAATACATGTTCCAAGGGCTAATGTCAGGTCACCACCAGAGTGGTTTCTCCTAGAGTCTAGGTATTTTAACACTTTGTGATAACGATATGTATGTTCAAAATGTGTTTGACCTTTCCGTTGGCTTCCTTTAGGACCAGAGGAGGACCTTCCAAGGAAGATGGAGTACTTGGAATTTGTCTGTCACGCGCCCTCTGAGTATTTCAAATCACGCTCATCACCATTTCCCACAGTTCCCACCAGGCCAGAGAAGGGCTATGTATGGACTCACGTTGGACCGACTCCTGCAATAGCTATTAAGGAAACGGTTGCCAACCATTTGTAGTTTCAAAAGTAAGACTGGATTTCCAGTTATCACCTCTTCATACTGCTACAATATATGCCACGTGTTTATTTAATGAAATTCTTAGATGGAAAAGTGACTACAAAGTTACAGGAAGCATTAGCTTATTTCTTACCTAAAAAGGATAGAAAAGATTAAATATATTTTGAAGTTAAATATTACATTCTGTATGTGTATTTTCCATTAGGAACACAGTGTCTATTTATATCCATAATTTATTTCTAGAAACATAAAATGGATTGTATTTTTCTATAAGAACACAATATGAATTAAGATTTGGACTTCTGACCAAGGACTGAACCCAATAAAATATAGCTGTGACCACCGGTGTCTGTCATAGTGTTACACAAAGCTCTATTTTCTCATCTAGAAAATGCTGTGGCAGACTGCTGGCTGCTTTAACCTGAAGGAAAGTGACTGGTGGATAATTTTACTAGCCCAGGCCGTTTAAAACTTTCATCCAATTCTGTAGAGAACAGGGATTCGGAATCATTTTGTTGATCTTAATAAACAGCATTGATCTCACCTACTTTCTCAGTCAAAAGGAGGGTTTCAATGAAACCATAAAATTTTATAGTGTGGACAGTTAACCTCACTAAAAGCACACAGGAAATATGAATGGTGTAGGCACCCCAATTGGTCGTTCCTTGACTACCATTAGAACAACTATTGGACAGTCCTAAAAATGATTAATAGGTCAACTGCAATTGAAAAATAAATTTAAAAAATTTTTGTAATTAAAAATAAAAGTCTAATGGATTGTTAGCATTGATACCTAAAAAAAGTCTACCCCAAAGTTAAACCACCTGCTGTGAACTCATAATAATAGGCTTAAACAATGCCTTGGACTTAAAAGACCTGTTGTATATGAAATTTCCCAGAATTCAGCTACATGTTTACTTCAAGCACAAGTCAGTTAAGTCAGGGAGCGACAGTGTGAAAATGGGATGAAGTGGAGATTGTATACACTTGTCTCCTCTTCTGACTTAGCCAGTGTTTTTAACCCAGGAGAATTTGCTAGGATCTAATTCAATCATAATGATTTTGATCTATAGCACCTTTAACTAACTGTTACCCTTCTCTACCCAGTTACAGTTTGTGTGTTAAAAAGAAGCAGCAGGAGAGTTTTGTGTCCATAGTTAGTTCTCTGTATGTAGTTGTCTTTCTGTTTACAAGAATTATAGTAAAACTGATTGTAAATACCGTTGTAAATAACTATCTAAATGCTAATATTCAGTGTATTTTAAATGTATTAAAATGTATTTAAAAATACTTTTTAATACAGTGTAGTTTCCACAATGTATTTTTCACAATGTATTAAAATGTATTTTCTTACAATATATTTACATTGGATTTATTTATTTCATTTAAACAATAAAATAGGGCCTTCTATCCAAAAATGGTACACACATAAGACAGCAGTGTTGGCAGTATTCGTAAGTTGGAGTGAGTTTCCTCACCAATATGTAATAGATTTTAGGAAAATCAAAGAATGTCTGATTGATAAAATGAACACTTTATATATTTTAATATTTATTAAAATGAAATATTTAAAAACCAGAGTATATACTATTTGTTTATAAATTGATGGATATTTGTGTAGTATCTTAAAATAGATTGAATTTTCACTTTCTTCCTCAGTGAACACCAATAGCTCCCACTGCTCACAGGGAAGATTCAGACCTTTCCCCCTGTTATCAAAGGCCTGCCCCAGCCCATGTTCCCAGCCCTGTCTCCCCTTTCTTACCACAGCTGAAATGCTTCCCCTGACACTCCTGTTTCCTGGCTCCGAGTTCTTGTTCATACTGTTTTCTCCAACTTCAACAAAGGCTTTTCTTTCTCCCCCCAAATCAATACCTGGTTTTTATTGCATCTTATTAAAATATCACTAATAAGGTTGACAAACCATCCAGCATTGTGCTATTTTGAAGCTGGACAGCTTAGATTTTATTCAGCCTGCTGAACTGTTCCTTTTTCAGAAACAGATACCATGCAAAATTTTCTGCTATCTTTGTTTCTAACTATTGTGGCTTGCTTAAGGCCCTCAAATTCCCTCTCCCCATGTGACCTTTCCAGGTTCCCATGGCTCCTTGAACTCAATCTCTATTTTATTATTACTGCATTTAAGTTTCTACTTCTTTTGGCCCCATCCCCACCCCTGTGTTCCCTGGAGGGCAGAGATGGTGTGTTTTACTTACTCAGCTTTGTAACTCCTACAACACCTAACCCAGGTCCCGGCTTATGGGAGGAGAGTTCAAGTTAGATGTTCTTAAAAGATGCCTGGCCCGGCCAGGGTGTTTAAGTGGTTGAGTGTCAACCTATGAACCAAGAGGTCACTGGTTTCATTCAGCTGATCGAGATTTCTACCCCTCTCCCTTCCTCTCTCTAAAATCAATTTAAAAAATTAAAAATAAAAGATGCCTGTTGTTGTTTTAATTAATATTAGTTTATACTAACTTTGGCTTAAACTTAAAATTCTCTTTTGAACAGCCAACTCAAGTAGAATTTCAAATTGTTATTTTCTTGATTAGTATTAGGTTGTTTTAAGATTGATTTAACAGGATGTTTTTAAGATGATCTTTAACTAGTTCTCTTACACAAATCTTAACATGAGTAACTGAAAAAAGTATCCCAAACCATTCAGGTTCTTGGCTGTGAAAGGCTTTCCAGGACTAAGTTTTCCATAGAGAAACTTGAATCACAATTGCATTTCAGCCATAAGTAAGTGAAAGAAGGACACTGGGATAAAAATATCATTATTTTATGTATGTGTGTGTGTGCATAAATACATAGATATATTACACATACTCAGAATTGTGTTCTGCCATGGACCAGAAAAGGGAGGGGCATTTTGTGGATTTTGTCTTGCTCCCACCCTGGGATATTTTAGGAACTGTTTTTTACTTCATAACAGATGTGAACCATACCTTTTGTGGGAGGGTGTATCTCCTACCTACCGCCCAAAAATATAAGCCAAGAGGTCAGCTCCAGGGAGAAAGGAGGGGAATGCCTAAGTTACAGTGCATTTGTGTGCGTTTTTCTTTATACTTTTCAATATTTTCCAACTTTTCTACAAGGAGCGTACATACACAGACACATACTTGCTTGCAGACTGCCCGGCTGGTGAGGGACTACCAATTTCTAGCCCATAAGTATATAGAACATTTAATAAATCGTAATTCTTACACCCTTGCAAAGGAGATAAATGACACGTTGAGGAAATAAATTCAGGGAATGAGTTAATTTCATATATTCACTTAGTGATTCTAGGAAAGAACTCAGATGTGACCTTTTTCGGCTTCATCAGCCCCTGGGCCCGGTGCACGTTTGGCTCTGTGTTGAAAGGCACCTGCATCATCCAAGTTGGAGGCTTGGCAAGCGTGACAGATTGATGCAGGTTCGAGTTTGTCCTGTCTTTCCTCCACTTCAAGTCTGTCTCCCCTTCCAGACCCTGCCCTTCTGATTTTAGGCCCCAGGCGCAGAAGCAAAAGCCTTACACCGACTCCAACAGGTTCCCACGATCGCGTCAGGTAAAATCTCTATCACAGCTCCTTTATTCTGCCATCCTGTTTCTCCCATCAAGTCCCGATGCCGAGACCCTGATGGATATGGCAGGGCCCTGCTGTTTTTCATTATAAGCTATATAGAATTATTTGGCCTTTTTTTTTTAACCTATGTATATGTATTACTTTGATAAATTTTTTTAAATGGGAAGTAATGAAGGAGATCACTAAGGGAAAGATGAACAGATTGGATTATAAGAAATTAATATCTACCTTTCAAAAAATGTGTATATAAAATTAAAAACCAAACAACTCTCTCTTCCCTTTTCTTTTTTCTCTTAAAGAAGTGGGAATCATTAACTAGTGTTTCTTAGTCAACATGACACACTGTAAGCAGAAAAACTACATTCATAGCCTCAACTTCTTATGACATCACTATTTCAAATTACTCTGACTTCTATGTTAGAAGCTGGAGAGAAGGGAGGAGATTTATAACAAAAACACCTAAACACCTTGCCCTGGCTGGGTGTCTTGGTTGGTTGGAGTGTCGTCCTGTGCACCAAAGAGGTGTCAGGTTCCATCCCTGGTTGGGGCGAGAATGGGAGGCAGCTGATCAATGTTTCTCTCTCTCCCCTTTCCTCTCTCTAAAATCAATGAAAACATATCCTCAGGTAAGGATTGAAAAACAACACCTTAAATATTTCTTCCCATGAATTGGGAAGGTGTGAGCAAAACACCTCAGTAACTTTAGAATAGAGGATGAAGGTACTACTGAGGAAATATAATTCTTTTTAAAAAATGTGTCTTTATTGATTTTTTAGAGGGAGAGAGAGAAAAATAGAAACATCCATCAGCTGCCTCCTGCACTCCCCCTACTGGGGGTGGAGCCTGAAATCCAGGCTTGTGCCCAGATGGGAATCAAACCAGTGACCTAAAACCAGTGACCTCTTGGTGCACAGGACGACACCCAACCAACCGACCACACCAGCCAGGCAGAAATAGAATTCTTTTAAAAATGCAAATCTCTCAGCCCAGAAATCCTCTCCACAAAGGCAGGAGAGGAAGAAAACACGTTTATTATCGACTGAACATTAAACCAGCGCGTGATGCTCATCGCAGGCAGCTGGCCAAGAGGTTGATTGAAAAGACAGAACTCTCAGCCCATTACATAGCCAAGCGCGCGCATATCAATCAAGAAATAAAAATTTTTTAAAAATTGGAGTAGGGCCCTAGCCAGTTTGGCTCAGTGGTTAGAGCTTCGGCCTGCAGACTAAAGGCTCCCTGGTTTGGTTCCCACCAAGGGCAAGTACTTTGGTTGCAAGCTCAACACCCTCCCCTGGCCCGGGCATGTGAGGGAGGCAACCAATCCATGTGTCTCTCTCCTTTTCTCTCTCTCCTCGCCACCCCTTCCACTCTCTTTGAAAAGCAATGGAAAAAATATCCTCGGGTGAGGATTTTAAAAAAGAAAAAACAAGGCAGACTATTAAAAGCTTGACCTTTTTTTCCATTACAGTTGACATACAATATTATATAAGTATCAGGTGTACAATATAGTGATTAGACATTTATGCAATTACAAATTGATCCCCCCAATAAGTCTAGTACCCACCTGGCACTATACACAGTTATTACAATATTATTGACGATATTCCCTATGTTGTACTTTATAGCCCCATGACTACTTTATGATGGCCAATTTGCACTTCTTAATCCCCTCGCTTGTGTTGCCCAGCCTCCCAACCTCCCTCCCATCTGGTAACCATCAATTTGTTCCCTGTATCTATGAGTTTGTTCACCTATTTTGTTTTTTAGATTTCCATATA